CCAATTGTGCTGAGGACGTGTGCTCCAGAGTTGGCACCGGTTTTAACGCGTCTTTTCCGGTACTCCTACTCCCTAGGCGTAGTCCCAAAATCATGGAAGACGGCTTTCGTCCACCCGATCCCTAAAAAAGGCGACCGCTCAGACCCGTCCAACTACCGGCCTATCGCCATCACCTCCTTGTTCTCCAAAACAATGGAGTCCATTGTAAACTGCTAGCTCATGAGGTACCTTGAGGATCACCAGCTGATTAGTGACCGCCAATACGGTTTTCGCCGTGGTAGGTCAGCTGGTGATCTTCTGGTCTACCTAACTCACAGATGGGCGGAGGCAGTAGAGTCCAAGGGGGAAGCATTGGCCGTTAGTTTGGACATTGCGAAGGCCTTCGATCGGGTTTGGCACAAAGCGCTTCTTTCGAAGCTCCCTTCCTATGGGCTTCCGGAGAAATTGTGCGATTGGATCACCAGTTTTCTTGCGGATCGGAGCATCAAGGTCGTTGTAGACGGTGCAAGCTCCGATTGCAAGCTTATTAATGCTGGTGTTCCACAGGGCTGCGTGCTATCGCCAACGCTGTTTCTTCTGCATATCAATGATATGTTGCAAACCCGTAGCATTCATTGCTATGCAGATGACAGCACTGGTGATGCTCTTTACACCGGCCGAGCCAATATTTCTCGGGAAAACGTCTCTGAGTGCCGGGACAAACTTGTGTCTGAAGTCGAGTCTCTGCTGGACAGAGTCTCGGATTGGGGGGCGATTAAATCTAGTCCAGTTTAACCCCCAGAAGACACAAGTTTGCGCGTTAACCGCTAAAAAGAACCCCTTTGTCGTATCCCCTCAGTTTCAAGGCACTCCCCTTGTTGCCTCAGCCAGTATCGGAATCCTCGGCGTCGACATATCGAGTGACGTGCAGTTTCGTGGTCACTTGGAAGGGAAGGCCAAATTGGCCTCTAAAAAGCTTGGCGTGCTCAGCAGAGCGGGACAGTATTTCATGCCGGCACACCGCCTGCAACTTTACAAGGCGCAGGTTCGGCCGCTCATGGAATACTGTTCCCATCTCTGGGCTGGGGCTCCCCAGTACCAGCTCCTTCCACTTGACCGCATCCAGCGCAGAGCGGCTCGAATCGTCGACGACCGAGTGCTTTCCGATCGGCTCGATTCACTGGCGCTGCGAAGAGATATTGCATCTCTTTGCGTATTTTATCGCATCTATCACGGGGAGTGCTCTGAGGAATTGTTCGGATTAATCCCAGCCGCCAAATTTCGTGAACGCACTACACGGCAAACGTCCCGATACCATCCACACCATCTGGATGCTTGGCGGTCCACCACTGTACGTTTCAAAAGGAGTTTTCTTCCGCGTACAACCTCTGTGTGGAATAATTTACCACCGGTGATTTTTCCGGACCGATACGACCTGGGGACCTTCAAGAAAAGAGCTTACTCCTTTCTAAAGGGCCGGCAACGCACCTGCAATTCCCCTGGTGTTGCGGTTGATCATGGGCGGCGGTAGTCACTTAACATCAGGCGAACCACATGCTCGTTTGCCCCCTATTCTATAAAAAAAAAAAAACAATTGTACTTCAATGTCGGAAGTACGCTATAATGATTTTATAATTTCTTTCGCCAATATCAGTTACGTGTAAGTATATTTTTTTCCTTACGTGTGCTCGAACTGCTTAAGGTTTGAAAATTTGGTTATTTTTCTATTTAAAATATTTTTTTTTAAGTTTTATAGATTACAAACCAAAATTTTGATATATTATTTTTGACCTTGGATTATATATATCATGTAATTTTCTCGATAGAAAAAAATTGCAAAGTAGGCTCTAATTATTTACATTTCTCGATGACACCATAATATTCTTACGAATAATTTCATGGAATTATTTTTAAGGCATAGTAAATAATCATATCTAAGTTTTCATAAACCAGTTTTTTAATCCATAACGAAGTTTTGTTAAAATAAATAAAAATGTTTTTTGGCGCTTACTTAGTTTTTTTCCGAGCGCTTGCTCGGTATGGCTATCTCATAATTTACGTACTACGAAGTCATTGCATCACTTTCATTTTGACACCCCCGCAGTCGTCCGTTAGCTTCACCGACAAAGGAATAAGCCACGCCCCCAAAACTTCGATTCATTTTCAAGATATCTTCTTCTTCTATATTATAAAAATCAATTGCTGTGCGTTAGTCTTGCTGAAACTAAAAAATGGCTTGGACCCATTTTGATGAAGTTTTGTGTGTGTTTGAGTGAGTCCTTGGATGGTTTAGATTCACAAATGGACCCGGCAGATGGCGCTGTTGTCGAGATACAGAAATCACCCGCGCGAAGCCGGGCCGGATCGCTAGTTACATATAAATATAGTTTTATGTAATTTTATATCGGGCAAAAAAATCGAACGATTTTGTGTTCATTTAAAAATTATTTTTCTAGGAATAAATAGGACTATATTTCACCACAGAATAAATAATAGTAGTTTCGCCGACTCGGCATTATCATTTTTCATTTCGAGATAAAACGCTTTTTGTTTTACCGTTCTGTTATGAGTTTGTGTCCATACTTTTGTTTTGTGCTTGTACTAGTAGAATACCTCTATTTTTTATTCGCAAAAAGTAATTAGGTTTTGTATTATGTAGTTATGGATTATCATCCTAATTATACTTTTATTTAATATATCGATTTATTATTAGAAATCGATGTATTATTATAAAATTAAACTGTACTGGTGATATAATATATAGCCTGAAGTTCTTAGTGATAATGGCAAATTCTCTAACTCAGTGAAGGTATCCTCATTTGTTTACGTTATTAAAATGTAGAATGAAATGTTGAACGTACGATTTTACTAAGCGCAAAGATATCTGCATATTTTTTCTATTTTAAAACAATTTAACAAGGAGGAGGTTATCAATTCTATTGTTGTTAATATAACACGATATCTCCGAGGTACCCAGTTTGCTGATGTTTTACTTTTGACTGAGTATACTTTAAAAAGTAAAGTAAAGTAAAGTAAAGTTACAGCCTATATACGTCCCACTGCTGGGCTCAGGCCTCCCCTCATTTCTTAGAGGGTTTAGGGCAAGGAAGTGTCCGCCGCGCTGCCCATATGCGTGTTGACGAACTTCACATGTCTTCGAAATATTTTTTTTTCTTATTCCTCAGACATGCAGGTTTCCTCACGATGTTTTCCTTCACCGCCGAGCACGTGGTAAAATCAGCACTTAAAATTGCAATTAACAATTTCATTGGTGCCGGCGGGGATCGAACCCGGGTTACTCGCGTTCTGTTATATTTACAGCGAGCGTTAACCACTGAGCTACCACGGCTCTTTATAGTATACTTTAAATATGGTAAAATTTAAATGACGTTCAATTAGTTCTCTTGTAATCTATGTTGAATGATAACCTGTAGCGTTTACCGTGTAGTGGCGGTGTCAGAATATCTAATACCTCACACCATCCATCCTGTGTAAGAGGCGACAGAGGGTAACAAACAAATCAGGGGATGGGCAGCAGCGTCTACCTAATAACGACTAAAAATAAAAAAACTGCGGTTGCCAACCCGCCTGGTAAGCGTGGCAACTATGCCATATATCCCTCCTATTAGGCCATATATGGGGGAGGCCTATGTTCAGCAGTGGACTTTAATAGGCTGCAACGGTAACGGAATATCCAATAAAAATTATTCTATTCTATATAAACTGGAACTAGATCTTATTATAACTAAGGTAGGGTATATTTTTAAACAACCTACTAAAGTTAATGATTTTTTAAAAATGGGACGCTGTCTTGACGTCGTCGCAACTGATAAATAAAACATTTTACATTGTGGTGTTGCTAGTTGTTTCATTGGTTCTATTGTACAAATTAATATACTGTTGTATTGTTGATTTCTTATATTTACGCGAACACTACACATTTAAATAATACTAGTTTTTACGGATTTTATCGCGTATATTAAACTTTTTAAATACCCAACGTTTCGAGCACTTTACAGCAACCATGGTCACGGGGGAGACTGAGATGTTCAACGTCTAGATGTCATAGTTAACCGCGGTTACCATAGATTAAAATTATTAATTTTTGTTCCGATCTATGCAATACGAACTTATATCTTGAAGTGCAGTTGTATGCTTGGGATGGGTTTTAATTTTATTAAATATAGGATCCCAAGCAGATGGTAGCACCCAGTCATCTTCTCTATTGAACTTACGATGGAATGGATATCCTGTACGTGTTTACAGGTTGTAAACACGAACAGGAACGCCTCCGTCACTACATGAGATTTGATAGACCACAAATCCTCGCTAAAGACCACCGATTCCTTCCAAGGATGATTCGCGAGGCTATTGAAATCAAAAAAACATCCTAATTTCAATAGAGAAGATGGCTAGGTGGTACCATCTGCTTGGGATCCTATAATTAATAAAATTAAAACCCATCCCAAGCATACAACTTCTCTTCAAGATAGGTATTATAAGTTTGTACTGCATAGAACGGAAAAAATTTATAATTTTAATCTGTTATCTTTTCTCGTTACCCTATTAGGAAGGTATCTCAAAGTCCTAACTATAGTCCTAGTGTTAGTTTTTCTTCAACTAAGAAAACGTCTGAAACTTCCATACCACGATAATCTGGATTAACGTCAATAAGCAACAAGAGCCAGTTGTCAGGAGATGCTCGTCTCCTGCACAGAACTTATTGGCTGACGTACGATGTATTTTTTTTAATAGAATAAGGGTGACAGATAAGCACGCAGCCCACCTGATTGTAAAGCGGATATTTTGGCCCATAGACATCTATATCTATCCTTGATTGAGAATTAAAATGCAAATGCATTGTCACCGCAGAGGACTAAGATGGAATGCCTCGTTATCAGTTAAAAAGATCTCCGGTTCTCTACACTCACCATACGAAAAACACAGCATTAATCTGCCGTTTTAAGCCAGGGCTAAAATAAGCAAAATCCCGATGAGAGTTGAGTTTGGTGTTGCGATAGGCGGCGTGGTGGGCGGCGTGGCCGCTGGCGGTGGCGAGGCGGACGACAAGCCGCTAGCGCTGGGCGAGCTGGCGCAGCTCACCGTCAGCAACGAGCCCGAGGCGTACGACGTCGCCGGCGCCAACAAGGAGTCCTTCCGCAAGACGTGGAACGCCAAGTACACGCTGCGCTCGCACTTCGACGGGGTGAGGGTGGTCTTCTATATATTTTTGCCTGACTACTTTAGGATTGTGTACGCGTGTGTAATGTTTTTAGCGCTTTTGAATTGTGAAGTGTCTTTCGTCTACATCTTCGGAGCGTAGCCGGCTGCACTTTATCAATCAGTCGAACGAATGTGTTACTTTATCAGTAATGATATATCACTGCAGCAAGGTTATTTGTATTTGATAATAATTTACTTGTTTTAAAAATATTTGAATCGGACTGTAGACTGGATAACTCGCCTTAACAGAAAGAAAGAAAGAATGTTTATTAGTACATAGCATATTGTTTATTAGTATATCAGCCATCTAGTCCAATCGTGGACTTAAAAACAAGATATGTCGACCTAAGTCTTTGTAAGTCTACCTGACAGTGATTGGCTCTGCAACCCACGAACAATCGCCTAGCTTTAAATAGAAGTAAAGTTACAGCCTATATACGTCCCACTGCTGGGTACAGGCCTCCCCTCATTTCTGAGAGCGTTTCAGGGCAATGAAGTGTCCGCCGCGCTGTCCCAATGCGTGTTGGCGAACTTCACATGTCTTCGGAATATTTTTTTTCTCTTATTCCTCAGACATGCAGGCTTCCTCACGATGTTTTCCTTCACAGCCGAGCACGTGGTAAATCAGCACTTAAAATTGCAATTAAACAATTTCATTAGTGCCGGCGGGGATCGAACCCGGGTACGGGTACTCGCGTCCTGTTATATTTACAGCGAGCCTGTATTTATATTGGCTCATTTACCTTTCGTAGTGTGGCTACAACGCGGCTTAGTACAGTAGGTAAAAGGGTTGTATATGTAACTCATGTACTTATTGAAATTTGAAATACAAATGTTATTTTATTCAAAATATATTTAATTATTTCAGGTTCGAGCGCTGGCTTTCCACCCAACAGAAGCCGCTTTAGTGACAGCCTCTGAAGACCATACTCTCAAATTGTGGAACCTACAGCGGACTGTTCAAGCAAAAAAGTCAGCTGGCTTAGATGTAGAGCCCTTATATACCTTCCGGGCTCATACGGCTCCGGTGTTATGCCTGGCCATGGGAGCTCCCCGCTCTGAAGAGTGTTTTTCAGGCGGACTGGATGGGACTATCCGGGTTTGGAACCTGCCTCCCCCCACAGCTGATCCTTACGACCCTTACGATCCTGCCGTGCAGGTAACAATATTGAGGCCATAATAAATAATAAATAATAAATGCTATACAACATTCAGTATTTGTTTTTTGGTTATGTTGACAAATTAATAACATTCAAAATGGAGTGGTAATCAGTAGTTCCTTTTTTACAATGTGTGTTGAAGGATCAACATGATGTTTGCAATGACTGTGCATCTGGCTGCTACATGTTGTAATAATATGAGTTTTAATCCACAATAATAAATTTTTATTTTCATATGCTTCCATTCTGTGGAAAAAATAAAAACTTTGCATGTGGTTATTGGTAAATCTCTAAATTAAGTTTTATGCCTAATTCTCTATATAAAGTGAAATAACTTTACCTTATGACGAAAATTTGGCTAATTAACAAAAAAAAATTTAAAATAAAAGACTGAGTTCGATTTAGATTGGATAATAGACGTCAGTTTAAATAAGATAAGGCACGGCTAATTTAGTAAGTTAGTTCAGTGCTGGTCAGGGCGAGTTTTTAAGTTTTTAACGCCGACTTTGTCTAAACAATTGTGTCAGCTACCGCTTTTAAGATACTTCTGATTTTTTAAATTAATTTTCAAAATACTCTTGTAAGAGGACTGTCATAAAAACTCATGAATTTTATTAAGTGTCCGACCAAAACACAGTTTTTAGAAAAAACCGAAAGCTGAACCCTGAAATCTAGAGTTTTTTCTAGCTTCGTAATAGATATTTCGATTGAGTTAAAATGAAGAAAACTTCAATTTATTACTTACTTTTTTTGGGAATGCAATGTAGGTACAATAATATCTAGAAACACATAAAATATCAACTAATAGAATTATAGTATTTATTTATCAATAATAAGTAATATCTGATATCATTAAATTATATTGTATCTATCTATAAAAACAAAACACAACAGTTACACTGCGCGAAAATAGTTCAGTGTTAAGTGGTGTTGTTTGCATTCTGAACATGACCCGAATTCATACCATAACTCAAGTTCAATTTTGGCCGAGCTGAAGAAAGTAAAGCTGGCCGAAACCGAAACTTCGATATGTGAAAACTAGTATTTTTAATAACTTATGTTTACCACACCACTTCATCATATCAAACGTGGCTGTTGTAAGAGGCGAAACAAAGGTAATCTGGAACAGGGCAACAGCAACCATCCTGATAATAACTAACAGTAATAAAAAAACTGGTTGCCAACGTTGCCATGAAGCAATTTGTCAGGAAGGAACCTCCGGACAATATGTGGATATTCTTATGCCGCCACTACGTGATTATTTATTAAATTTATACAAATGCATTTAAAAATATACAACTAACATATTATTTACTGCAAGTAACTGTCGTTTTTTAATATTCCCATACAATGTCTTTCGGAGACTGTTTGTTAACAGCTCGTAAAGAGTATTCTAATTAAGGCTTATAATTTGTCGCTAGGTGGGACTGAGGTGCAGTTATTTGTTATACAGTGTCACCATAACTGAAAAGTAGCTTTTTGAATAAGTTTTTTAATTTCTAGTGTATGATGCATGAACAAAATAATGCATTATAGTCTTAGATTTATCGCATAATTTTTTGCTCCATTTGCCATGTAGCATCCATGTAGCATGTAGAGATTTACCTCTGCTTTTCGCTTGTGAGTGCAGGTGGCCGGAGGCCCAATATCCCCCCTCCCCTCTTAACATTGTAGCGGAATCAATTAAAAAACTACCCCAGGAGGGTACCAGTACCCCTGGTGACGGAGAATCTCTCGTTGAGCATCTACAACCAAGATTCCTACTCTTCCTGAGCGTAGGGGTGCTCAGGCTGCGCCGCGTATTCTGAGGGAGGCGCAATTTCGTTGGCGACTAAAACTGCTCGGGGCAAGTGGAGCAACAACACCAAGTCAACCTCTGCTACGCTATCCATGAATTTTGACGATATTAAGGAACTTCATTTCAACCTTAACGCTGTCCACTACCATTTGGAGACAGCGAAACAAGCCTTGCTCTTTTTAACCGAGACTCAGGTGTTCTCTCTAGCTGATACTTCATATTTCTCCTATCCGGAGTACAAATTAGAACATTCCTTTGTTTGAGTATACGTCAGAGAGGACATCTGTTTTCGACGCCTCGGCAGTCTTGAAGGTACGGACCCGTCCATCCTATGGCTGCGCGTGGACAGCGACGACCATCCTCGCGTCTACGGATCCCATAGCAGTAATACCGAAACAGACCGACTTCTTGACCACGTCCAAATGGCTACAGATTCCGTGCTACAGCAGATCTTATCCGCAGAGTCGTCACGTCGTCATGTCGGTTCACGTGTAACCGATCATGCGGGAAGATCTGTTTATGACTGCTTTGGCATTAAGTCTGACGCAACTGGTTACTGCGCCTTAGCGGATTTCAGATGTGGAAGATCATACACCTTACTTGTTGGACCTTCTGCTGACTTAATAGTTTTTTAAATTTAATTTGTTAAATTGCTCACAGTGAAAGTGCTGTTAAATTAAATTGTTTACGATATAAGGGTCATGTGTAATTGAAACGAGTGTGGTGTGGGTGGAGCCGTGGTAGCTCAGATGGTTAACGCTCGCTGTAAATGTAACAGAACGCGAGTAACCCGGGTTCGATCCCCGCTGGCACCAATGAAATTGTTAATTGCAATTTTAAGTGCTGATTTACCACGTGCTCGGCGGTGAAGGAAAACATCGTGAGGAAACCTGCATGTCTGAGGAATAAGAGAAAAAAAAATATTTCGAAGACATGTGAAGTTCGCCAACACGCATTGGGGCAGCGCGGCGGACACTTCCTTGCCCTTAAAACCCTCTCAGAAATGAGGGGAGGCCTGTGCCCAGCAGTGTGACGTATATTGGCTGTAACTTTACTTTACTGTGGGTGTGCAGGGGCCGGTGCTGCGCGAGCACACGGACGCGGTGTGGTCGCTGGCGAGCGCGCACGGGCGGCTGCTGTCAGCGTCGGCGGACGGCACGGCGCGGCTGTGGGCGCCGCGCGCCGCGCGCCCGCTGCTCGCCACGCTGCGCGACGACGCGCACGCCGCGCACCCCGCGCCCGCCGCTGCCGCCGACTTCGCCGACGGTGGGGCGCGCGCCGCCGTCGTCTACCGCGACGGCACGCTGCTACTGTACGACCTCGAGACCAGCCAGGTGCGCTCGCACACGCACACGCACACGCACGCATGATTGCTTACTTCACACCTTCAATCAATAATACTATGAATGAATGAATGAATATACTTTTATTGTACACCACAAACAAATATACAGATAACAAAACAAAAAGCAGATTATAATATTATGTAAGTACAATTTGGCGGCCTTATCGCTACATAGCGATCTCTTCCAGGCAACCAAAGGTGTAAGGATTAGAACAGAGAAAACTAGGTAGGTGGTGCAATATAAATATACATAATATGATATTAATACACGCGATTTATAGACAATACATGTAATAAAATAACATACAAATAACTAAAAAAATTATATAAATTGCTAAAATATATTTTTTTAATTTATTTAGGGCAACAAACAGTCATGTAAAGTTGATAGTAACATGGATAAATAATAATATAACTAAAGATATATAGTGCCTTTAACTAAACTTTTACAATATTATAAACTTAGCCACTTTTAGGACTAAAGGACATTATAAATTTATTTATTTATTAATACACTAATTTCTAAGATGAGGTAACTAGTTAACATTTCGTGTGCAATTAAGGAAAAGAGAGAAAGAAACCTATGTTAAAAATATGATTATTATAACACTGACAAATTTAATTCAGATTCAATTAGCGAATTGAGTGCTGCAACATTTTCGGTGATGGGTAACTAGATTATTCACAAGCCAAACTTTGAAAGAGAGCAGATTTAAGCTTTGATATTGATCTATTAAATAAATCAATATCTGTGAATTTTTTATTGTGTTAGTGGAACGATACACAAATGGGTTTCGTGTATAATTTTTATGATATTGGGGAGTTACGAAAAGTGGTTTTGGATGTGAGGGGCGCACAGCCAGACGGACTCTGGAAACAAATGACAATCTGCTAAGTAACAACGAGGAGTCGACTAGGTTATTAATAATTTTGTATAGAAATACTATGTCAAACATTTTACGCCTTGTGCAAAGAGAAAGTAAATTGTATTTTTTTAGTGAATCGGTGTATGACTGATTTAAAATATTTTGGCGATAATTTAGGGATTTAATGAACAATTTTTGAACTCTTTCTATTCTCCTTATATGAACTTCATAACAAGGGCTCCAAACAGTGCTGCAAAAATCAAGGAAAGATCTGACAAAAGAGAAGTATAAAATTTTTAGGGTTTCGGGACGTTTAAAGGGTTTACTTATTCGTAGTATAAAACCTAGATTTTTAAAAGCCGAAGCTAATATGTGCTCAATATGTGGAATAAATGATAAGGCCGAATCCATGATTATGCCTAAGTCCCTGATTGTGGTTACTCTATTCAAGGCCTTCTGATTTATGTGGTAGTCGTAAGTAAGGGGATTTTTTTGCGAGTATACGATATTATGTAGCATTTATCGCTGTTTAGGAACAGATGGTTAAACTCACAGTATGAATGTAATCGGTGTAAGTCTTCTTGGAGTTTGTGGCAGTCAGTAATTGATCTGATGATTCGATACAACTTAGTGTCATCAGCATACAAGAGATGGTGACTAGGTTTCAGGACATTGCCAATGTCATTTATATAGACTGAAAACAGTAAAGCCCGCCTTGAGGCACACCCGAAGGTACTGGAAGAAATTGTGACGAATAACCTTTTACAAAGACCGCTTGACTCCTATTACTTATGTAGGATTGGATCCATCTAAGGAGGCTGCCATGCACACCGGCCCTTGCAAGCTTCTTTATTAGCAGATCGTGATTTATTTATCGAAAGCTTTGGAAAAGTCGGTGTACACGGCATCCACCTGTAGTTTATCATCCATGGCATGCAACAGAAAGTCATTAAAAATTAACATATTGGTGTCAACGCTATGGCACTTAAAGAAACCGTGTTGTTCCTGGGAAATCTGATTACGAAACGAGTACATTTGAGTGGTTACTATCTTTTATAGGATTTTGCCAAAGATACAAAGTTTCGATATAGGTATATATTCGTCTATACATTCACGTCTCTTATTTTTTGGAATAGGGGTTACTAAAGACTCTTTCCATTAACTGGGAAATGTCCCAGTTTGGACAGAGAAACGAAATATGATTGTAATGGGTGTTGCAAGTTCTTCAGCACATTCGGATATGAGAAGAGGATGGATCCCGTCGGGCCCTGCACCTTTATGAATATTTACTTGTTTCAGTTCTTTGATAACATTATCGTGGTAGATGTTAATAGAATGTATATCTACGGCTGAACTGCCTGAGTAAGAAATTGTATGATCAGAACTTTGATTGGTAGAAGGGATGAAAACTGAATGAAAATAATCATTAAAAGCCTCGCATATTTCACGGGCAGTGGAAATAATTTTAGCTATATTATATATATATCATTTTTCAGGAATGCAACTAGAAACTTTTTTTGACTTTACGAAAGACCAAAATAACTAATTAACTAAAATAAATACGTATTTCCATGCAATCACCAGAAGAATTAAAATAACAGTCAGCATAAGTGACGTTAAAGTAGCCCAGTATTAGATAAGTATCGTCGGGATTTGAGATTATAAAATCGCTTACTCTGGTATAGAATGATATCAATTGTGATTCGTGGTTGTAACCGTGGGGTATAAAGTTGCTATAATATGTAAGCGACGGTGAGCCGGCTCACCGTCGATCGAGTATTAGACTCGTGCGGTGACGTCATGCAGCCCGCACGCGACAATATTTCAATTAATGGGACAGATAACCAAACCTCTTCTGCCTGCGTCGGTGAGCACTCATGATGGAGCTGCGACGGGCAAAGGCTGCGCCGCATTGCAATCAGTACGCCGCCACCCATCCCGCGACCGCTAACCGTAACGTTGCGATCACATCGGTGAACCTCGTATCGACTGTCTCGTATTCACTGTCGTAAAAATTACTATTAAGCCATGATTCAGTGACACATACCACATCATAATTGTTACCACGTTTTGGTAGTAGATAGACAAGTTATTGTTATAAACCACTGTACACAATATACGGCAAAGTAATATCACAGAATGAAATATTATGGGTTCCACTAACATTCACAAATAATAGAAGACAGCAATAACAGTACTTAAAGTTTCGTGAGAAATATATTTTACAACACTTTTTAATAGGTAATGTAGTCTTAATATGTAAGTATTTATAACAAAAAAAAAAAAAATCCAATTCTTTCAAGACATTAAAATAGATAACGACATACAGTCATTTAATTTTACTAAGATCCGCATAACATGATATAAGTTGAACTTTAGAAGTATCATTTTTACCCAATAAAATCTTACAGTCAAGACAACCACACGTATATGTATTCTTTCTTTTTGGATAGAAGGCGGGTTTGTTTGTATAATTGTTTGTTGTGCGGCGCGAGGTGCTCATTGACGTAGATGGGACTGGTGGGCCCGCTTAGACCCGCGTCAGCAGTTGTTAATCCTCGTCCCGCGCGCACTGCAGTCAGCAATTCGTTCTTGCGATATCTTTGTGAGAATCTGATGATGATGTTCGGTATGGAAGATGAGTTTAGAGATGTACTGCTATCGTGTTTGGTAGGCATTTCGTTCCTCGTCGAGTTGAAACGTCGGACACGGTGTATGTAATCAATATCTGTAGGCAATACCGTAAAACCGACCTTTGTAGCGATATTATGTATAATATTATTTAAATTTTCGCCTTTTAAGAGTGGTATCCCAGAAATTTCCACGTTATTAATCCTCCCAAGCTGCTCCTTCGCATTCAGCTGGTCAGTAAGAATAATTGTTATGGATCGCAGCTCGGAAATCTCGATTGAAACTAGATCAACACGCTGGGTAATTAAACCTGTTGTGGAAATCAACTCGCAAACATCTTTTTATATATAAAGAGTTTACATCGCTAATCTCTTTCTTAAATGAATTGATGTCCTCGTGAATGCCATTCAAAACACCCTTTATGGTACTGTTTTGAGAATCCAGCTTTACTGTGAGCGTGGTCATCATTCTATTACAAAAATCATCCATGAGTTGCTGTTGGTTGCAGTGACAGTCGGGCGTTTTCCTCTTTCTTGCAGTTATATTTAGGAAGTCACCATCGCTTATCTTCGATAAATTCGGCTGTGAGTTGGCTTTGGTTGGACTCCTTTGTACGCTCATATTATCAGGTGTTGCGAGAAAGGAGGTAGGTAGCAAATCCAAGTGAGGAGTGTGGAGCAAACACCAAAAGGTGTGAATGAAAAGTAGCACACTCGTCGCTTCTACTTCGCGCGATGTCTGTGTCGAAGACCGTCGAAAACTTCCAACAGAGCAGAGACAGGGATGGAGGACCGGTCCTCTCAAACGTCACGCGCGATAAGGTCTCAAGCGAATTTCAACCACAATGCACAATTACAGAGAATGCAAAATTATTTAGTAAAGTTACTCTAATCGGACAATATTGCGGCACACGTTCAGCCTAGAAGGTGCTCATAATAACAAAATTCACAAATACTTTTGTGGTCTTATTTCAAATTAGTATGGTCCAATCATAACCATTTTAACGAACATTGAGATGTAATATCAAGAATAAAATAGAGTAATCACGAAATTGTTAACATGATATTTTTAACCTTATCACTTAGACTTTAAGTTTCATTTTGAAATAAATATTTGTGTTGGACTTCTTATATTCAAGCTGTATCTTTGTCGGATGGCATAACTTAAATAAACATATTTTGCAATGGTATTTAAATCTTATGTTTGAGTGATAAGGTTAATAATAAACTGAAGTTGTTAATATTTTTAATCTTTTTTCTATAATTCATAGTAAGGAATATAGATGTTTACATGTGTACAAACGTGGCCACTTAAGCGACTTATTTTTGTTCCTGATCCTTAATCTAGTATAATCATTGATCGAAGCTTCACACTCGAACCATATGGGTAAGGTCATAAAAAAGTGTAAATAACGCACTGGAAGATATAACACACGATAACGTACTGGAATAATATAAAGGACAATGTTCACTTGGAAATAGGTTCAGGTAAAATCCATTTTAAAATATTATCAATTACTTATTTTCATGAAATTAAGATTAAATAATCAAAAACTAATCTTAGACTATGCATAGCTTGCTTGTTTGCGAAACTAAACACCAAAATAACGCAACACAGTAGAATTAAAGCCTTTAACAAAACGATGTGCTTACAAAAAACAGTAGATACTAAACTAAAATAAAATATATATAATACTAAAAATACTAAAAAGTAAGTTATTCATAAAAGAAATATAACGAATTTAACAAATATGCGTTTAAAGTTTACAATTAGTACAGATACCGTAATTATTACCATTTATCACAGAATTTTGTTTTACTTTTTTTTAATTATAAGGGTTACCCCATTTGACACTATTCGCGTTCGCACAGAGCCATATTTAAGAAGAAATTGAAATTTAAAAATGCGTTTTTTTAGTTTAATCAATAGGCGAAATATAATATAGTATTAATTTAACCACTCGAATGTCGGGGTCATTTTTGCCAATATGGTGCATCTGTCGAGCACTTTCCGAAGTACTTAGTATATATATAACAAGTATACTAAGTATATATGTATATATATATATATATACTTAGTGGGTATATTGAAATCATATATCAATGGAAACGTTATTAAATAAGCTATCAGACTGTGCATAACAGATATATATGTTATATATATATGTAGTTATATATATATATATATATATATATATATATATATATATATATATATATATATATAATATCACATATATGTTACAAATAGTTTGCTATCACTCTACGCCATATTATGGCGTTTGACAGATGCGCATATTATTTGATACGCCAGAATAAAGCGTTTGTACGGACGAGGGGTTAATAAGTAATGATTAAAAAAAAACTTTTTGTGTTTATCTAATAAACTCACCATACGAATATAATAAAGCCACATTAAAAAATGTGTTTTTAGTAATAACTTTTTCATATTGTGCCAATTAATAAAGGAGAATGACCATAGATGTATGGAATCTCGTACCAAGTTGCATCAAAATCAAACTTTGTTTTTTATAGACTACACTAATCCTATTAACTCCTACAAAAGTCCTTTTTGAAAAAAAAAACCCGGGTTTTGGAGTTATTTTATAAAATCGAAAATAACCTAAAAACCATTACGTCACTTTTTCGATGCTACCAACGACTTATTTTAAGTTGACACTTTAAACATGGACAAACATTATTGCTCTAAAAACCAATAATATTAGTAATCCATTAATATTTGTAAGAATTACGAGTCATAGCAACACATAGCCGCGCCATCGGATGCGTGACTGAAACTCGGATATTTGCCCGACCTTTATACATATTGCCAATACTGTGAGTGGGTAGTGTATCCAAAGGTAATATGTATATAATTGGACGCCACCGCGATCACACTACCACACCAATATCAATAATACATTATCATAAGTGTGACCACTCAGACCGAAAAAAAGCTCGTTGAGTCTAGAGCGTCTTTAACCATTTAATCTAAGATACGATACTATTCCTGACAGACACTATTGCTCAAGCTTATGTTGTTGTGAATCGATTAGGTAAGTGATAGAAAAAATAAAACAAACAAGTCCATTTGGGTTTTTTAATAGCGATTTAAAGTCAAAAATATTTATTTAAGATATATTTACTTTAATCATTCATCATACTCCTGAAAAAAATCATCTAAAGCCGTTCCCGGCGCAGTTACGTCATTATACCGTCCCCAGCTCAAATACCACACTATCGTCATTATATGAGCACAGCAGCCTACTGTTCGCTTACCGACAAGGCAGCTGCAGCAATAACCTACTATGGTTTCTAAAGTGTTGGCCACAGCATCATCTCTGCTAATCAATAAATATGTGTGATAAGTACGACTGTTGACATGTCTAGATTTAATCCTACCTCTTAAGAGGTAATTATTAAGCCCCAAAATGAAAGGTACATCATCATCGATAGTATTATTCACCTCAACTGAATAAATACCAGTCCGATGGATGTGTTCCCCATAATAAGATCTAGCCTGTTTGAGTTGGTAAGTCCCAAAAGCTAACAGTTTTAAATCAGTTATTGTCAATTGTGGAAATCCATCTAAATGTGGATTATTGCTGTCAATCAACTGAAAATTCACACTCCTATTGAGATTTTTGCCTGTTTAACATAAGTTGCCAAATGGTTCTCTAGTGAAAGCCTATCCTTAGCAATTCTTACATATTCCATGGCTTCTGGTGCGTCTTCTATAACAACATAAAACTTATTAATTAGGGCACATGAGATTCTAAAATCATCCTTTAGGTGCAAAACCACTCTATTGTTAAAAACATGACGAGAGTCTAAAATCCCTTTTCAACCTACCATTAACCACTTCTACAACCCAGCGTCACATAGTAACACAACGAGACTGATTTGCCTGCTGGGTTGTTAATTGATGTTCATTCTCAAGTAGAGACTCTGGCATATGTGTTACAAAGCCATATCCCTGGAGTTCATTAATCAAGTATGAAAACGTCACCTCTTCGGAAAAATGATCTTAAAGAAGCTTCCTCATTACGTAAGTTTAAACTTGTAATCGTAGCATCATTCATTGTCGCCTTGTATGGTCCGAGACAATCCACAATATGAGATTCACAACACACTATCATAAATGGTTTGTCCAAATTATCCAGTTTTTGCAAACTGTATGTTTGTTTTTGAAATAAGTAATTAGAACTACTTTGGATAAATACATAAGTAGCATCACATATGACTATTGCTGGTTTAGAATTAGGTGGCAAATCAGGATTACCAAATAATCTCTGGTATTATTCTATTTCTAGAAGCAACATCTTCAACATTCATATGATTAAATCCTAAATACAATGGAACAAACTCATTAATTAAACATGTTCTGGCCTTATTCATTAAGCGTTCTAAGGTGACACGAGATTTATTAAAGAGAGTTGCCAACCTTTCATTACTATCACCAGTTCTAAGCTTTACTAAGTAAATGCTTAAAGCAACCGTGGCATTTGGTACTTGTCCTGCTAGACTTGGGATACAGTTTAACAAATCATAAAACTGATCAGATGAGTTCATGCCTAACCAAAAGTGACACAAATATGTAGGCATAATTAAAATATTTGAGAAATCTATACGGTAATAGGCATCTCGCTGCATTATTCTCATAATTGAGTCGAATTGACTACCAGTAAAATCTTTTAGCTGGGACGTTAATTCGCTCCAACGGCCATGATCCAGGTGGTGACGACAGATTCGTGCTGCTGGTGGCACATAGAATTTATTATTAAGTAATAACAGATCTTTTATAGATCAGGGTACTAGTAAACGTTCTGTTTCAAAACAATTAACAAATATACAGTGATTGGATGTGCTAGCCGCACGCTTACACACTGAAGACCTAATTGTTGGATTTGATCTAATATGAGTAGTGTGTAGGTTTTGTTGTGGAAGAGGGGGCGGCTCAGGAATATTGAGATCGCTAGTTGATCCAACATTAGGCAAAATGGCTTCTGACAGACCAGGGCGATTGGAGTCTTGGTGATCACGACGTTGCAATTCTCTTGTAGCTGATCTCCAGCAAGCAGCACATACTCTTTCCAATCTTGAGATCTAAAAATAACACAATTAAACATGTAATATGTAACATTTCACAATGGGATATAAACTTGATTAAAGTGTGTATAGTAATGTGATGTAAATGTTAGGGATACATTTTTTTATAAGATAGGGTGACAAACGAGCATAAAGTCCACCTGATGGTAATTAGTATTTGCTGTGGCCCATAGACATCTACATCTATTCTCGATTACAAATCAAAATGCAGATGCATTGTCACCCCTGAGAACTATGATGAAATGCCTTGTTCCCAGTAAAAAGGATCTCTGGTTCTTTACACCCACTATATGAAACACAGCAGCAATGAGCTGCTATTTCACAATGGTATTCTGTGAGAGCGTAGTCCTTACCCAGTTGAGCCGACCCAATCATGCTACAAATATACTACTAATATAGTTAATATACTACTAATTTAGTTGCAGGATGGCTCTCCACGTATGATAATGATCAAGCAATAATTGTGTTAAAATAGATAATATTATCTAAAACCCACAACATTATTTATTTGTGAAACCTTCACTTATTGGGACTCAGTATTATAAACACATCTAATTACAGTATTATAACTAAAAACTGTAGAAGACGAGGAAATAAGAACATTAATAAGAAGTTGATCTTTTTTTTATATTGCAACATAAATAAAAATATTTACCAGATGCACATGCACACAGCGGAACATGTCTAACTAAAATGTTTCTTTTGTCGATCTTGTCTTACAGAATATGTTCTAGTTGCACGTAGAATAGAATTGCCACACGTAAAACATATACTTCTATGACCAAAAGCAGGCAATCCTTCACTAATTGTGTTTGCTTGATCTTGAAGCAGTGTCAAACACTCTGTACAAAGCACACATTCTGAAGACAACTGCAATAAAAACCATGAATTAAAAAGTGTGTTTTTAACCTTTTTGACATTATCTGTCTTCTGTAACATATTCACAGAAGTAACTAAATATGCAATCAAGAGTAAAGCCTTTTTGGCCTCAAACAGGTTCGTTTTTTGTTAATCATTTGTTATTGCCTGTGCTGTCTAAAATAAATATTTCTTTCATTCTATAAAAATGTTTTGTAAGACGGTACGATGGTAGAGATTTGACATTCTTAGGTATATATTCAAAGAGTAAAATAAGATCTGCTTACTTGAGTAGGAGTTATCCACGACTGTAACAAATTAATCATTGAAGTAGATGCTTGTTCCAATGAATGTATAGGTAGGTTTCTGGGTATCAAAAATGAACAATTGATACATCGTTTGTTATGCCGGGTGACTGACGGTGTCAATCGGTCGACTCCACGACTCGACATATTTGCACAATTAAATATACAGAAAAAAGTTCACAAAATACTGACAAGTTCTACTTCTCAACACAATTCAATAACTAACTAATCTCAAGTCTTAAAACACAGACAGTTGTATTTGTTAGAACAAAGATATGGCGTGGTCACTGGTCAGCACAAAGGTCAGATGCACTTTAAACGTCATTTTATAAGATTTTTTATTTAACTGGTTTTACGGTTCTGGGTTCCAGCCTTTCGGAATCTTCAACTTTATATATATTTTTAAAACCGTATGTAGATTGTTTTAAATGGAGCATAAAGCGGTTGAGCTGTCGTCAAAATCTCCTAAGAACTTCGCAATGTGACGCATCAGCATATTGTGAAGAAAAAAATATATAAAAATGAAGATTCCGAAAGATACGATATGCTCAGAAGGGCTAGACTCCGGAGCCGTAAAACCAGTTAAATAAACATAAATAATACAATATCAATATGCATACTTTTAAACTCAAAAAAAAAAATTCCTTGTTCAAATTTAAAATCCCCGGACGCGTAATGCCATAAAAAATTAGGACACTAATTACTAATAAAATTTAGTCTTGATGCGCGAGACTTTTTGGTACCACTTTTGGTCATTCTCCTTTAAAAAACTCTTCTCATTTAAACATTTTTTATAATATGGTCCTGTGCGAGTGGAAAAGTTGACGAAAGGCGACGACCTCTTCCACCTCTTCGACTTCGACCACTAGTAATAATAAATCAGAATAGTATAACACTCCACTCTTATGTAGGTACGTCAGAATAACATTACAGCTTTTTCATTTCACCGTAGTCGGTTAAGTTAGGTGAACAGCCTCCTTTATAACATTCCAGTGTGTGACATAACAAACATCATAACCCACACGCAACTAACTGGAACAAACACACTCGAAAATTCAAAACTCAACAATGAATACCGGTCATAAATCATGCGCGATTTTCTTAATAAAACTTGACATACACTGGTAATTGACTATAAATTTCGAATCAGGAACCTAGTAAACGATATCTTTGTACTTCTCACGTAGAATTCACATATACACTGCCCGACATTTGTGCTCTAAATTATGGAATTTACAATTGTTTACGGTCACGACTACAAATGAAAAAAATATATCAAAACCGACATTTGACAGTAAGCCTACGGCATTGCCTCATCGAAAGTAGGTAAATAATGTTGTTTAATGTTGAAAACAAAAAAAAAATCTACCCCATATTCATAGGTAAATAATGTTGTTTAATGTTGAAAACAAAAAAAAAATCTACCCCATATCGAATCGAAGTAACTACTACGCACTGGATAACTTTTGGAGACACAAATTAGAATAAGATTTTTTTCCACTAGCATTGTATTATTGCAATAATTTATACATTATATCACACGACATCTTTATTCCTTTCAAAGTAAACTACAATTTTAAAACCATATTGCTATATTATTTATTGCATTTTTTTCGTTCTCGTGTAAGTTGATAGGAGACAAATAAATTGTGTTGATTTTATTATGTTGATTCAAAAATATTTTTTATGTTTAAGCCTCCTGAATATTATGGTTATTTCTACATTATTCTATACATGCTTACCAATGTTTTATTAATTAATAATATTATCATACTTTTTGTTAGCGTATGGTATTCACAATCAAACATGGGCTCACTCAAAACTTTTAAAAAGTACATTTTTTTACGACCTTGCCCATATACAGACCAACCAGGTGCACTCGCATAAGTATCTCTCAGAGAACAGTTATTTGTGCTCGCATACGTATCGTTCAGAGAGTACCCGGATGTGCACACACGCACACTTCACACTTCTCATAGAGGCCAACCAGATGCACTTGTACACGTACCGCTCAGAGAGCGGCCAGTCGCACTCGCACGCGCTACGCTTAGCACTTCTACACCTACCACTTAGAGAAGAGACATGTACGCTCACACACGCACGGTCATTTAGTTCACAGTCGTACCACTTAAGAGGAGCAAAGTGTGCTCACACATGCACATTTACACCAACCTGGCACCACTTTGGGAACAGCCAGGTGCGCTCACGCACGTACCGCTGAAAGAGTACCCGGGTGTACTCATACACGCACACTACTTATTTCACACTCGTACCGCTTACTTATACATGTGCTTACTCCACACATCACTTATGCCCAGGAGTAATGTTAAAAGCATTGCTAGTATTGTTTTAACATGTTTTATATAATTATATCAATCTATCTATGGAACGGAATCTTTTAATGTAATTTTTGACAGTTTGCACTCCGATGACGATACAATACAATAGTAGGACCGATGACAATATAATAGTTTAATAACTTTATCCTAGTATCGTGATCGGGATCACCAGTGTTGTTTAGTTGTTTGAAGGAGTATATACATGTCGAGCGGCGGCTTGTGTGCAGGTGGTGGTGCGCATCGCGTGCGAGAGCGCGGCGGGGCGCGTGCGCGCGCACCCCGCGCTGCCGCTGCTGGTGACGGCGCACGAGGACCGCCACATCCGCTTCTGGGACGCGGCGTCGGGTCGCTGCGCGCACGCCATGGTGGCGCACCTGGACGCCGTCACCGGCCTGGCGCTCGACCCCAATGGCCTCTTCCTGCTGTCCGGCAGCCACGACTGCTCCGTGCGCCTCTGGAACCTTGATACCAAGACCTGCGTGCAGGAAATCACGGCGCACCGCAAGAAGTTCGACGAGAGCATCCTCGACGTCGCCTTCCACCCGCTGCGCCCCTACATCGCGAGCGCCGGCGCCGACGGACTCGCCAAGGTCTTCGTCTGAATCGCACTACAATACGTATTCACTTTACGAACTCTAATATTAGTAGTTCGAGAGACGACCGTGACTTGTTTTTGACGGGATGAAATTTTTTTAGATCTGCTAAGTTCGTTTTTAGGACGAGTTTTTAGACGCTAGTTTTTCGATGTGTACGTGCGAGCACGATAAAAATGTATATCATAGTTTCATTAAATATGTTATTCCACAAAAACGCATGTTTTTTTGTAAGTAACATTTTTATTTTAATATGGATTATAATAAAATTAAACCCTACAATGTAGCGTTGATAATATGTATTTATCTTTATATTTGTAAATGGCGTTGTTCTGTGGATTTTGACAATATTTCTGTAATTTTTATGATGAATATGTTTTTAAAATTTCATATCACCATGGATATACGTGTTTTACAGTTATCATGACATTATAAAGTTTCATTCTGTCGGCAACATGTGTAATATATTATGGTTGAGTCTCGGACTACGAGGCAGTAGCGAGTCAAGTAGTCGGGCGAGCGGCACTCGTACAATGTGTCTAGTCCCTTCGGTACGTTTTAACATATTTAAACATTGTAAACGTTTCGGGCGCGTTCGATATTCGTTGCGAGCGCGTAGTGAACTCATCTATGTATAGACATTTGAAATCTAATATAATATTTTTTAGACTTTCAGTATGTGGACTTTTTTTGCGACTTTTTCACAACAATTTTACGATATACAGTGAGATAATAATAGTTTGTTTTTACGAATCCGACAGCGAGACATTTATAATAAATATTATGATGGCGCCGATGTTTCCTTGATACGTTTACGATATTGTGTCTGTACAGTTAGATGTTACGCAGTATTTGCTAATAATGCAGAGAAAGAATGAAGTGGTTTCTTTAGCTAGTATATTTTTATTTAAATCAATTGAACTTATATAAATAATATCTTTGTTTCTTTTTCACATATACTGAACAACCTGCTCTCATGGTATCCTATGTGAATGTGAGCGATCAAACAAAATTATGAATGTGTTGAAGTACTATATTGAAAGTAAAATAAGTAATGTTTGTTCATAACGAGTACTGCGATGTAGAATATTATATATTATGAGACATTACATATTCCTTTATTTTCCTCGAATTCATACTTGTACACATACATCCAAAATTGATAGTAAAAAGCAACATAACCGAAATGTTATTATTTTAATTACTTCATTTTACCCTTTCTTCCTAAAAAAATTGAACCTGGTACATCCCCGAGAAATAAATCTCACCAGTCTTGCTAAAATTATTCAGTATGGTCTAATGTTCATAGTAGGTATCTGAATACTACACCGCGAGTTCTGGGTTAAGTAAACATGGGTTTAAAAGCAAATTTGTTGGTTTTCGGATCGGTGTTTCATCTACACTTAATATAAACAAAATATATACATATATATATATATAAATATATATATATATAAAAAATAAATAATATAAATATATATATATATATATATAAAAAAAATAAAAAATTTTGTTTGAATTGAATAAGCTCCGAAACTACATGAGTGATTAGAAAAATTCTTTCACCATGGGAATCCTACATTATCTCTGATGAACATAATATATTTTCAAAAAAAGTTAGGGATCCGTATAAAAACCTTGTTAATTTAACCCACGGTGTGAAAAAATACCAAAAAAATCCTTACATCGCGTATGTTGCAAAAACTTAACAGTAGAGTAAAATCATGTACTACAGTTTTATAGAAAACATTTAGTTTTCTGTAGCAAAGTACGATTTGGTCGTGTTGTGATAAAACCAATTAGGTACCAAATTTCGTTCCATAAGTGGCATAAGAGTTGCGAATAGGAAGTGTCTGGAATGTTTTTGTAGCATTTGATTGATGACGAAATAGTTAAGAATGTTGGAGTTAAGACTGGGAAGTGGCGACAGGTTGCGGCTTGCGGCTCTTAGAGTGCGATTAACATCAAGAATTTTTTTTTATAGAATGAGGATTACAAACCAGTATACAGTCCAACTTACGGTGAGTAGATACTGTGACCCATAGAAGTCTATTTATTCTCAATTAAGATTCAAAATGCAAAACGCGTTGTCATCCCATCATCATAATATAGCTGCAGCGTGGCTCCACCACGTTAGAATTATAGAATGTATAGAAGTCAAGAGGCGCTCATGTATTGGGCGTTCGCGCAAGTCGCTGAAATCGACATTGTAACGGGCTAGATTCAACCTTGATTCAATTGACGACTCCGTGGCGCAGTGGTTTAGCAATGAGTGGCTGCGCTGGGGGTTGCGGTTTCGAATCCCGCACGGAACAAATATCTGTATGGCCTACAAATAGTTGTTCCGGGTCTGGATGTTTGTAAACTGCCCCTTCGATACAAGAGAAAATCTTAGTGTAGGGGTAAAGTTTTAAAAAAAAAAAAAAAAATAAAAGAAAAGAATTACATGGCACTCACATTTCTTTAACAATATAAAGTAATCAATGCGTTTCACACGATGCAGTGGCGTGCCGCGGCACGTCACGACATTCTATGGGATGTGTGATCCCTTGGAATCACGAGACGTGCAGCAGCTTGCCGCGGTGTCACGGTCTACTCTTTGAAATAAAGGAATTTCAGTGCTAAGATCATTAAAATAAAGTCTGAAATCTTTTGCCACGAAAAAACTCTTGCCCTGCCGTCTGTGAGTGCAGGGCCTTATGTCCGCTGTACTGTGTTTCACCTTCGCCACATTTAGACAGGGCACAGAGTACCTATAAATATGCGCTGTCTGAACAGAAACGGCTATAATATCTTTTTAAAAGGTAAACATTTAATGTTAATACTTATTTGCCTATTTCATATTCTGTATTTCTTATATTTTGAGTTGCACCCATTTCATTTTCCTAGAAACAGGTTTCCTCAAGATGTTTTCCTTCACCAAAGAACAAGCAGTAAACTAACTCTTGAAATTGCAATCAACAATGTCGTCGGTGCCGACAAGAATCATAATTTTCAGTCTTGCTCGTAATCACTTCAGCTTTTATATATATACATACATACATACATATATATATATATATATATATATATATATATATATATATATATATATATATATATATATATATATATATATATATATATATATATATATATAATATGTAACGAAATTAACGCACCTTGAGAAAGTAGTTTCTTCAGAATCGTTTACTGAATCGATTCCTATCACTTTTAATATAGGTAATTTTTTATCCCAAAAATAATTAAAACTACGTAAATTTCAGTCACACTAAATCTGTACAGTCAAAACAAACTGAAATGGACCGTAACTTAAGGCAATAAGAATTTTAAGAGTGCAATTTTATTTGTATTATTACTGTCATTCAATAAAAATAAAGAAAAAGGAACTTTATTTCAAGCACGTTAAAGTCTTTGCGTTCGTGGATTTGTACTGTGACCACAACATTCTTCCGGAATTAGTATAACTAATTTGATAAATAATCAGTGCATAAAAATGTGTCAGTGTATGTTATTATGATTATAACATAATATACTTACTAATTGGGGTGTCTGAGGGTGTGCTTATATATATATATATATATATATATATATATATATATATATATATATATATGTGCGTGTGTGCATAATTCCTACATATAAATAATTTCTATGTCAGGACAAATATGATGATGATTCAAACTTGCAACGACTGATCTATTTTATTGTCAAGAGGGATGTCGTTCCAGTCTGATGGGTGATGGCCGTGAGGGCGAAATAGTAAGAAAAGTAACCAGTACGGTAAATGAGTGAGCTACTTAAAATTACCCGAAGAACGGAGAGAAACAATTATGAGAATCTCTCAGGTATTGTATAAATTTGCATTTCAAATACTCACGGATCGTTCAGAATTGAGAAAAGGTTGCAGAGTATGCTAATATGTCTGCGCTGACGAATAGGCAGCTAATTTACCTAAGTACGAAAAGAAAATATATGGTACAAGATGTATCTGCCTATATATCAGTAACGTGTGATTAAGTCTTAAGAGAATCCATTAATTCTTAATATATCAAATACCTAAAACAAAGTTTCGTGGCAAAGTTCTTTTTGCCTGGCAGAGCGGAGAGTCGAGAGCCCGCTCCGACAGGCACGCACTCAAATCCAAAGGTCAACTGCACTCGTGAATTGCAAGAACTAAAACAAAGTCTAAGTTTGAACATATTATTAGAACTAGAAAATATATTTCACATTTTTCAATTTAATTTACAAAATTTTTGTTTAGCCTACTTTTTAAAAAAATTTAAAGTGACAAACGGGCTACCAGTTCACCGGGTAGCGGCTGTTGTAGTCCACACACTTGCAGCATCCAACTTCTTACAAATAATATTTCAGAAGAATTGTCACTTCAGAAGATTGGGAGATACAAAAGGAATCTTACCAGCTAGAAGATCAATCAATAACTGGATAGGATTTATTTTCAGCAGAGTTCAAGAGTAGTGTTGCCCAAAATCGGTCTTGGTCTTGCAGTCTTGGTCTAGAACAAGACCGCCTAATTTTAACAAGACCGAGAAGAGTGACCGTGCAAGATTTGAGCAAGAACAAGACTAAGCCTGCGAGACTTGCGTCTTGCAGTTAGGAATGAGTGTCGTTTCAGGGAGTATAGGAGTTCGGGTATACGCTTAGGGACTCTATGAGACGCAAAAAAATATATAAAAAATTTTTGCAAAATTGTACTTATGCGCATTACGAACAATCCCATAAACATACATAGCGGATGAAAATATCCATTAAAAGAAAAAACAGTGAGTGCATCCCTAGTTTTGACCATCGGCACTTTGATAGTGCGCGGCGTCTTGTTGTCGGCATCATCAAAGGTACTGACATGTCAAAGAAGATTTGCAGCTATTCGGAAGTACAAGATCAATATACACGCGCCGGCGGCTTCTATTGATATCGCATTCAATCGTCACCGCCGCGCCGCACGCACTACATTTGACACTGTTTGAATGCCGCCACAGAGTACATGT